TTTTTGTTCCCTGAGCTGAGGAATCACTAAAGTTTTAATGGTCTCTGTAGATCCAGCCTCCAGGCTGTCCCCAAAAGTGGAAATATGGAGGAAGATGATATATTTATAAGTTTCGCCTGAGGGTTATGATTAATAATTTTCGTTCATAGTTCCCTTTTTAAAAAAATTATGATATAATATCACTCCTAACTAGAATAAGGGAAATCACAACTCCCAAGTAATAGGCTTCTAGAGCATGTTAGAACTATAGAAAAGGTATAGAAAAGGGTATGACACATGTTTAAGAAAATATTTATGAAATGAATGATTAAAAGGTTGGAAAGATTATGAGGAAACAGGAATTCTCATACTTTATTGGTGGGTGCCCAAAACTGTACAATTCCTATGAAGGAGAACTTCTCAAGATCTATCAAAACTACATTTTGCATATTTATCTTTTGATGCAGAACTTCCTCTGAGAATCTGTCTGATGGGTATTCTTGCCCACACTCAAAGTGACTTATTTCCCTTTAGGGTAAAAGTAGTGAAAATAGGAATATACATTAGTATGTGCTTGTATTTCCATTTAAAAAGTTTAGAAGGATACATACAAACTAATAAAAGTGGTTACATGAGAGGTGGGAGGCAGAAGTAGATATTTGATTTTTCAATCAAGTGACTGTATCACCTATTTTTTTCATTTTGAAATTTAAAAATTGGCTGCTGGCTTATAAATCCAAAGTCAATTCTTTCTTTACCAACTTTATTATTCTATTTCGTTTTGAGTTTTCTGGACCTGCTTTCATAACACTTCCCTTGGACTACTTAAGAGTAAGATAAAAGTGTCAGGATCATTATTTTAAAACTGATATTTATAGTTACACTTGTTAGATTCCACCTACATCATTGCCTACGAGGGTTATGTCTATCTATAAACAGTTCCATGATTTAGAAAATACAAAAATATTCCTGATTTATGGAGTTTCCGTAGTAACTATTTAAATACAGAACACATTAAAAGCACTTTTATAAAAGTACTTTATATATAGATTTCCTTGTAGGCAGCAATATTTCAATAATAAACTCAAAGATGTACCATGTATGGAACGCTTAAGCTGATTATAGATGCTAAAAGCAGAACTTCTAAGAAAGCTGATATAAAATGTATAAATTGAATAGAAAGAAAAATTTTAAATATATTTTTCAGAAGTATGACAATAGCTATGTGGCTAGATATAGATAATATCAATTTTGGTTCACAGACAGGGTTGTATAATAAAGCAATATTACTGCTATATTGTGTACTGTTTAACTTAATTTCTGATATTTAGCCTTTATTCAACTGAGGAATAGGTAAATTTAATGCCACTTATTCTTTGCCCTCACTATCCTCATCCTCCCACCCCATAGACCCAATGCGCATGTCAATGCTTTCAAATTCTGTGCAATGTCGATCGAGGCTTAACGAGCAGGGCAGGATGGAGACCGCCCGGCTCTAGTCATTGGTCACCCATCAGTTACAGCTAAGGTGCTCGTCACCTGGGCCGTCAGCAGCCCAACACAGCTGGCTGTTCCTGCTCTTCCACACGGCCCTTAAGGAAGAGCAGCAATCTTTTCCAAATATGGGAACTCTGTCCAGCTCCTTTCTAAGCTCTCACTACCTCCTAGACATAGCCATTAAGCCAGGTCCTGGTCTCTACTGCTTTGAAACCCACAGGTAACTCTCTCAATCCCTTTTTAGTTTCTCACTACTTCCAGGTGATTCTGTTGACTCATCCTGTCCAAAGCCAGAGACTCAGTCAGTATAAAAGCTACATGGGGGCTAAGCCTACACTCTTTGTTACCCACTATATGCAGAGCGAAATCTACAACCATCCTGAGAAACCCATCATGGCACTTGATAAATTATTTACTACAGTAGACTTTTGTGCAATTGAACGAGCAATTTCACACAGCTATGAGGGTTTAGGATGACCACCTCTGACAAAGCTCTTAATATGGAACAGTTGCATTGCCAAAAACTTAACATGTATCATTGAATCTTGCATATCGTAGATGAGGAAGCTGAGATTCAAAGGATTTAGTTAATTTCACAATGCCTACTCATGGCAGAACCAGAATTCGAAGGCTAGTCTGATTGAGTGAGAAGCTAAAATAAAACCATTAAGGTGTTCTGCTCCATTACAAATTCAGAGACGAGTCCTGTTTTATAAGCCTTTAGCATACGAACACCTAAGCTAACTGCAAAGGTAATGACGTGATGCTATAAATTCATTTGTTAAGTACATTTATTGCTCAGTTTAGATATGCTGCATCAATTATGTCACACAAGTGAATGCACTGCAGTGTGCTTAGAGCTGTATTAACATATCCTGAAAAGCTGCTTCAGCAATTTATGATTTAGCTTCTATACCACAATATATATCATCTATAAAAACACTTCCCAATTACCAGCACAATATTTCAAAAACGAAGTCAATGTTTTAAAATATATTTTATGATATAATTACAGCATAAGAAATGAATACATGCATAACTGTATTTACCCTCTCTAGTAAATTTGGAAGTAATGAGAGACATATACATATGTATCTTTCTGTATCACTCCCTTCCTTCCATATTTGTGGTTTCCAAATACAACTTTCCATAGACCAATTTAAATACATTTTACAATGTAAGCCCCTTGCTTGTGTTACATTATGGGCTTCCAATTTCATGAAGGTTGAATATAATCCAGGGTTTCATAGTGTCTCAAGTTTATTAAAACAGGACTTAATTTTTATATAATATAGTCTTCTCTGAAAACCAGACTATTTTCACATAGTTGTGCATGCATGGTTTTATGAGCCAGGAGCTAAGAAACACACAGTGTGGATTAGACTTACTAGGGCCATTATGTCTGACCTGAGCTATGGAGAATCAACAAACACTTGCACAACTAAGAATCAATCCACCTTGTATCAAGGGCTTGCACACGGTCTTGCACATAGTAGAAACTCAATAAATGCTTTTTTAAAAAAAATGGCCAAGAAATAGTTTTACAAGTGCTTAGATGGTATTATGGTTTTGTTTATTCTTTTATACTAAAATCCGTGCTTCTCAAACTTTAATGTCATACGATATGCACCAGCGATGAATCTTGTTAAAAAGCAGATTCTGTTTCAGTTGGTCTGGAGTGAGACCTGAGATTCTGCATTTCCTACAAGCTCCTAAGTTATGCCGATGCTACCATGTGCGACACATGATGAGTAGCAAGACCATAAATTTGATTTCAAAATACATTAGTGATTTCAAAATATCATTGTGCTCCTGTAGCACCCTGCACCTCCCCTAACTTTAGCCCCTGTTTATCTTGTATTTATATGTCTATACCTTTCTAAGCTATAATCTCCCTGGGGACAGGGACCAAATTTATCTGGTTTTCTGTTGTATTGTCAGTGTCTAACACATAATTAATACTCAATAAATACTTTCTGGATGCCAATTGACCAAAAGAATGCATATATAAAAGATACACTTTCAGATACCCTTGAACACCTGAAAACATTTCCCTAGCTACCTTTTCACAAAAATGTCACTGGGATTATTGGGGATTTTTCAAAGTCAGAGCAAAATTCATCATTAGAATCATGGCTAACCTTTATTGAATTCACTCATTGGATCCCCGCAGCAGCCCTAAGACGGAAGATTATGTTAATCCCCACTCTCAAGGTGGGAATTGAGGCACAGAAATGGTAAGCACCTTACCCAAGTTTGCACAGCTAGAAAATGTCCTTGCTGGGACACAAACGTAGCAGTTGGCTTCACAGTCCACGTACCTAATTGCCATGCCATGAGGATGAAAAAACTGAATCACCCTATGACTTAGGTTCTTCCACCTTAATAATGTGCTTTACCGCTGCAGAACAGGGATTCGACTCCATTCTAAAGAATAGTCTGCAGAATCCTACGGCTAGTCGACATGGGGTGTTCTCAGAGTCAATTCTCTTCTCGAGCAACCACACAGGTTTAGGTCATGCAGTAATGATGTGTGACTTTGCTGGGATACAAATGTGAATGGCAAAAGCTGTGTAAGGACACTTGGCCGGAACAAGGAGGGGGGACCAGTGAAGGACACAATACCTACATGAGCACGTGGCTTCATTTTCCTCTTATCTTTGTGCATGGAAAATTCCAGAGAAATGGCATGCTGTTGATGCTATTCTCAAATTTGGGATTTGCAAAAGTTTTAAGATGCATCCCTAGAAAAGTGTCAAGGACCTACTCTATGTTCTTGGCTGGCATTTTCTGATATGAGCACCTAAATTATAAATCCTTCCATAATCAAGAAAAAGCAGATATTGTGTGTATGTAAACATATCAGCTACCTTTACTTAAAGAGAAATAATACATAGCATTGTTTATGCAAAGAACAAAATCATACAACTATTTTAAGAGACAAGTCACCATGGTAACCATTCCTCTGCTTAAATTTAGAGAGGTAATGCCTTCTGCTACTGGAATATTCTCCCAGCCTTTAGCAGCAGGTATTCTGTATCATTTTATAGTGGTCCTGTTTCTGTCCCCCACTAGTAGTCTCCAGGTTACCTTACTTAATGAGAAATCCTATCTCATTCTACAGAAAAACTCATATTGTGTATTTAATTATTAAGTGGATATCTTATTTCTTAGAGCATCCTCTAAGATAAATAAAAATGATGATGAACTATCTCACCCAGAATGTTAACACAGGGTCATACATATCTTGAAACAAGTGGATGGTTCTATAGTCAATAATTTCTATCATCTGTAAATTTCATTTATTTCCAGAAATGTATTTCCTAGATGAAATAGAGGAAAGTTAACATATATAATTCTGTATTTTTAATTCTGTAAAAAGATAACTTTTTACATACTCTATTTTCTTACATATCATTAGGAGAGCTCCTTCTTGCTTTCCCAAACAGGGATGGAGGTATTATATTAAAAGAGGCTTTCCTAATCAGTGGCAAATATTTTCCAGAGTTCCTGCGTACTGGAAAGACCACAAATTTTGTTTTACTTTAACAATACTTCCCAACTCCTTTTAGCCACTTGCTTGTTGCACTGAACCAGAGCACTACAATTTGAGAACAAACAACAACAACAATGGCAATAATAATAACATCACTCATTTAGCCCTTGCTGTGCACCAGGCCCTGCTGGAAGCATTTCACATGGACACTGAATTTACAAATTTAGCAAACTAAGGAAAGCCAGTGTGCATTAAAAGAAATCATCTTTGTTTATTTAAAAAAGAAATTACATGTAGCCTTGATTATGAGCGTTTTTCTTTTAATCCTCGCATCCACCCTATGAGCTTGCTAAAGGACCTCAGATGCTCTATATTAATATTAATATATCAACTCCCATGCCTATAAATCCTCCCTGAATCCATTGTACAGATTAAGAAACTCAGTAATCTTTCCTCGGGTATCATAGTTTACAAAATAAAATAAGCAATGTACTGAATGTAAATGTATTAATAAGATTTCAGGAACAATGGCCCATACTGAATAAAACCAGAAAATTGGCTGGTGAAATATGTAATAAATATTCAACACTCTAAATCATGAATGCACAAGACACTAGTTCTTCCTATAATAATACGTTAAAATATCATTTTGGGGTTTTTTGTTTTGGCAATATCCCTGGTATTCTGAATCTACACTTTATGTAAGCAATGAGACTATGAATACTATATTTACATATGAGGGGGCCTGGAACTTACATATTTCCATACACATCAGCTCAACATACTGCTACCATTTGTGACTGCTCTTTCTCTTTTTGTAAGAAGGTGAATGAGTAAATAATAGTAATAAAAAAGCAAACATGCTTAAGTTAAAGGCTTTGCTTGTCATTTTGATAGTTTACTACAGTACTGGTGTATGAAAGGAAATCAAATTATTTAACCAACGATATTTTTATTCATACACAACTATTATTTCTAGTAAGCAGTCCCACAAACTGTTTCCACAATATGAAAGAGAATATAATGAAACAGCAATGAAACAAACTTCTTTATCACTGCTTTTGATAAACCCCAGAAGTACATCAATGTGATCAACTTTCAGTTATAAATGATTAATTGTATCTACAACATTAAAAATATCTGATAGACTGTGTCATTTCATGACAGGACTAGTATGGGACTTAGTTTTTCCCAATTCTGTTCTATTATTCATTTTTTTAAATCAGCTCTTTAACCCTGCAAAGATGCAAACTGGTGATATAATGAATTTGTCACTGTTTTAAGTAAATAAAAAAGGACAATCTCTGCCGATCATTCCAGATATGTGTTTTACCTCAATCATTGTTTATGCCTGGTAAGTCATGAGAGCAAAGCCCATTCAGATAAAAAGATGTTTGAAGTCATTTGTACATAGGGAAATTGTTTATTGCAGTGAAATCCCAAAAGGCTTTGCAAAATTTCAGTTGGTCAGGTGAGCCAAGAACTTTCTAGAAGTTCCAATGAGCTTTCTGGCCCTGTGGGAGTCCTTAGGTTAAGAGTTGCGCATAAATTCCCTAAGGAAATTGAAATGAGTAATTTCTTTATTTCACTAGGGTAAGTTCAGACCCCTCATTATATTCATTCTTTTAACTCTGTTTAGAAGCAGGTAAGAGGCAGCCCCGTTAGTAATGCCGCCCAGATAAGGACAGGAGGCTCCGTGGCCTGCCCAGTGGCCTGCCCAGCGACAGACTGCCCAGCAGCTGGCATCTGACACCTGACAGGGGCCCATCTATTGGTCCTGAACACACTAGCCACGGAAACTGCTTTTTAATTGGCTTAAGTGGGCTTGTTTATTTTCCACTTTTCTGTTATTGAAATAGAAGTGGAAATCTGCTCTCAAAGATGAGCCTATCAGCATCTCCTTGCTTGGCTCGCCTGACCTTCAGGCAGTGCAGCTGCCCGGGTTGAGTTAAAAATGGACTGTCAAGCTGGCTTTAATTTCTGCTGCTCTGCCTCCGAATGTCCTCCCACGGATCTGTTTATCACACCCTGCTTACCCCTTCTGTTGTTGTTTTTCTTCCTAAGAGATTTAAGCTTGGACAGCTGAAACTGCCTTTCAAGGGCCTAACCTGCGGATCCTTCTGCACCATAATCCAGGGGGACCTGGGAGCCAACCCTGGAACCTCTATTCTAGAAACAAACAACGCCTCCCCAACCCCCCAGGCATCTCCCGTTTTCGTCCCCTGCCCATCCCACTGTCACTGGGAATACCCGCTCCCAGCAGCCCGGCTCCTGCTGGCACACGGATCGGGAAAGGGTGGCTTAGTAACCGTGGAAGGAAAAAGTGACGTTTGGCTTCTGGCTAGTGCGCCGTGCCGGGACAGCGACTCTTCCCAGGGCTGCGCTGTCCTGCGTGCTGTGTTCAAACTGCCCTGAAGCTTCGCAGGGATTATCCCCAGCAGGATGAAGGGCTCTTTATCTTCCTCGCCTCCAGCCTCCCCCAGGCCTGCACGGGCCTGGTTCCTCCCGACGGGGCTCAGGGCACTCGTGCCTCTGGCGACGACAACCGCTCCCCAAGACGGGCGGGGAGGCAGTAGCTAAGATCCCGCTAACGGCGTCCTTTAGCTCCTTGCCAAGCTCCCCAGTTCACGCCCGAGCTCTGGGGCTGCGTCTAAGGAGGGACCGGCGGGTGCAACCCGGCCCGCAGCCCACGCGTCAACCCAGAGGTGCGGCCAGCAGGCCTGCCCGGAGCGCACGGGCGACCCAGACCCTTCCTGGGGCGCTGGCGGGTCTCGGGCTGGCGAGGAAAGTTAGGGGCGCCCGCGCGGACAGGGGGGCGCGGGAGCGCGGGGCCGGGTTGGAGGCCAGAACCGGGCGCACACGCGAGGCTCACTGAACCTCGGGGGTTGTAAGCCAGGTGTCCCCATGACGCGGCACAGCCTCGGGCCACGGTGTTAGGGACAGGCACGAAGCTTCCCGCCGCCGACGGGCGGGCCGCACGGCCGGCCGGGCAGCCAGGGCGCGCGCCGGGGAGGGTGGCACCCGGGATCCGGGCTAGTGGCGCAGCGGGGCTCAGAAATTGCGGTCGCGGGGATCCGTGGCCTACCCAGAAAACAGCAGGTGTCCGCCCTGCCCCGCCCGGGCCCACCCTCAACTCCCGGCCGCCCGCCCGACCGCGGGCGCGGGGTGAAACGCGACCGGGCCGGCAGGGGCGGGGCGGGGCGGGCGGGCGGCCGGGCCTATAAAGCGCTCGCTGCCCCGCGGGCCACGCTGCTGGGGAGCCGGCTGGGAGGGAGGGCGCCAGCCGGGCGTCACCGCCGCTGCGGTCTGCGGGTCACCGGCCCCCGGGAAGGGGACTCCTGGGGCCGTACCTGCCTCCGTTTACCCCGCGGCATTGGCAGGCAGCGCGCCCGCCCCTGCGAAGCCGGCAGGTGAGCGCCCCGCCCGGGCGGGAGGAGGGTGCGGGGGAGCGCCCCGCGGCGGCTTCCAAGTTCCGCTAACTTTCGCGGTAGTTTCGGTAGTGTCGGGTCCGCGCGGGGCTCCGCGAACCCGAGCTGCAGGGCGGCCGCCCTGGAGGAGGAGGGCGCGGCTGGGCCGCTTCGGCGGCGCCCGGCGCTCCGGGGCCCTGCGCGCCTTGCCTGCTTTTGCAAACTGTCCTTCTTGCCTCCTTTCTTCCAGCGCCCCAGAAAGGCCGTTCCGCCCCGCGAGGAAAACGGAGCCGTTGGCCATGGTTGCAACGGGCAGTCTGAGCAGTAAGAACCCGGCCAGCACCCCGGAGCGGCCGGACCGCGGCGGCCACCCCGGGAGCCTGCTGAGCGGTGAGTCCGCCCCTCCCTCGAAGGCCGGCGCCAGCTCCGGGCGTGCGCCTCTCCCTCCGTCCTCGGAGTGGGGAGTGGGCCACAAGATCCACCGAGACAGACCCCCTTTCAAATTTTCCAGCATGTTCCGTTCATGAGGGTGAGAAACAAAAGTAAGAAAAGAAAACACCCGAGGGCCGCATCATTCTGGTCTACTGCCAGTGGGCTCTTTGGGGCGAAGCTCCTCGTTCTGTATGATCGTGAAGTGCACGGTTATGTGTGTTTCAACAAATGTGTCTACCTCTGTAACCGACACCACCCCTAAAATTCCCGTGTCCCATTTGCCATCAATTATCCACTCTCCCCTGACCCCAGAGAATCACTGATCTCATTTTTGTCACTGTGAGTTTTGCCTTTTAGAACCTCATAAAAATGGAACCATACGAAGTATGTACTCTTTGGTATCTGGTTTCTTTCCCGCAAACTAGTGTTTTTGAGATTCTTCTATGTTGTGCCTTTTATCGGTGTGTTCGTTTTTATTACTAAGTAGGATTCTATTTGTGGTTATACCCATTATTCCATTTTTAATGAAAGAAGGAAACTTCAACAGCAGTGGTGCTGAACTTACTGTCATTTGCAGTTGTAAACAGCAGTTTCTAAGTTGTCACACTGCCCTGCCACCGAAGAGCTATACGAGCATAGACACATTGCTTAAGCTCTTTGGGACTCCCTCATTTAGAAGGTGAAGTGGTTGATGACCTAATTTACCTGCCAGAATTCTAAAAATTCTCTCTTCAACATGGATAGAATATGGAGCCCTTATAATTCAGAGTGCATTTGCTTCATTTAGTTGTAAATAAAATGATTTAAGTGAATACACGAAGGTAAAGTAAGCTGGGGCGGGGAGGCGGGCAGGACATCTGCCTGCACCCTGCTTGTTCCTTTGACCATGTGTGGCCTGGCATCCTGCCGAGTGCTAGGGTTAATTTGGGAGGTAGGTAACCAAACGCAGAGCTATCTCTTTTCCTTTGAGCAAATCTAATTTTGTTTCCCCAGGACTATTTTGTTTTGCTTGGCTAAGAAAAACTACCCAGCCAGTTATAAATATCCTCATGGATCTCAAAGGGCTTCTCTTTGAGCAATTTTTAATCAAAGAGGTTAAAGCTAAAATTGGGATCTATGGGACATTCTAAAGAAAGACACAAATTTGATAGAGTTCATGGAGCTCATGATGGGCCCACTTAAGAACAATAGCAAAAATTCTGTATTTTACAGTACATGTATTCCTACAGGTAGTTCCTCAATCCTACAAAAAAAAAAATTATAACGATTTTTAGTTTCAAATTAATGCAAATTTTCTGTAAAACAAAATTACAAAACCCCCATAAGCAAGTAGGCAAGAAAGAAAAGAAAATCTCTAATAATCTGAGATAACCACAAGCAGATTTTTGATGACTAGTCTTTAAGATTATATATGTGTACATATATAAATTTAAAGAAAAATGGCTATATTCTATCCATCCCATCACCAAAACCTTTATTTCACAGATGAACTTTAATTCTTGAGAGGTTAAGTGTTTCCTTGTATTACCGAGCTAGTGGACAGCAAAGTAAGGTCACACAAATATTAGAAACAGACAGACATGGTGGATAGTGGTGATGAATGTTGCCATCTTGGTGTGTGTTTTTTCTACTCCTGGATTTTTTCTTTTCTTTATCTAAAGAGAAAATTTCCCTTCCTACAGATTTTGACTACTGGGATTATGTTGTTCCGGAACCCAACCTTAACGAGGTAATATTTGAGGAGACAACTTGCCAGAATTTGGTTAAAATGCTGGAGAACTGTCTGTCCAAATCCAAGCAAACGAAACTTGGCTGCTCCAAGGTCCTTGTCCCCGACAAACTGACCCGGAGAATTGCTCAAGACGTCCTGCGGCTCTCCTCCACGGAGCCCTGCGGCCTGCGAGGCTGTGTGATGCACGTGAACTTGGAAATTGAAAATGTGTGTAAAAAGCTGGATAGGATTGTGTGTGACTCTAGCGTGGTGCCTACTTTTGAGCTGACCCTCGTGTTCAAGCAGGAGAACTGCTCGTGGACTAGCTTCAGGGACTTTCTCTTTAGTAGAGGTCGCTTCTCGTCCGGCCTCAGGCGCACTCTGATTCTGAGCTCGGGATTTCGACTTGTTAAGAAAAAACTTTACTCACTAATTGGAACAACAGTCATTGAAGAGTGCTAAAAACAACAAATTTAAAAAGATTCTTCCATGATTGTGTAATAAAGCAATGCAGCTAGTCAATTAAACTCATCTGTAGCTTTCCCCACGTGCCCTCAATAAGAAACCCCAAATGTGGCCCATCTCTGCGTTTTACATTCATAGCAACTACAGCTGAAGGGCTGACTTTGTGGCTTTTGGAGAAATGACCCAGGAGAGTGTACATTTTCTGCATATATCACAATTTTTTACAGAATGGATTGGAATAAGGAAGGAAAATAAGCCATCCATTTTCATTTTATATTTGACTCCTCATCTTTGTCCAGATGATCTTGCTAAATAGACTGTACAAATCATATTTGCCTACTCTGATTTTCATATGGCTTTTTCTCCTGTAAGTTCTCAAAGTGATCCTTCCAATCACAGACCCTTACTAAATGATGCTTAGCTCAAAAAATATAACTTCCAGAAGCCCACACTACCAATTTCCTACTCAAATTTGAAGTGTTCTTAGACAGGAGGGTAGAAGTAAGTGGGTGAGTTTAATTAAAACTTAACTGTAGGTAAGAGTGAATGAGAAATGTCACAGTGGCAAAAGAACTACTTCACTGTCTCTTGCTTTCCTCCATGTTTTAAAGTGAGGACAAAAGCTTGAGCTGCTCTTGTAGCTACCATGGTATTGTTTTAGATAACTTTATGGTGCAATATCAGCCCAGTTTTCCTAGTTCTCAAGTATTGAATGTTATCTTTAAACTAGAAAAATGGAAAATGTTGAACTAATTTTTTTGCGTGTAGTTGATGACTCTCCCATTGAGTGAATGAGGAACGCCTGTGAGGGTGGAAAATGAGGTCACAGGTCCAGTCCCTTTCTGATTCACTTGGCAATCTAGCTTCTTTTCAATGTTGCATGTACTCAATCTCAGATGAACCATCTCTCACCATGTCAGTGTTATCGCTGGCCTTTTCTGGGTATTTAGGTATCTCATCTTAACCCCGGTCTTCAATGCAATAGCTGCATGCTACCACATTAAATTACAGATATGGGTATATTTACAAATCTGTTTTGACTATGGAGATGTGGTTTATAACACAGACTAGAGAATGGAAATCGTGCTCCAGAAAACTGTGCACACACGCAGCTTTCTTCCACCTTGGATTCCTGTCTCGTGGGAATAACGAAGGCCTGTGTTTTGTCTTATTCCAACCAACTAACCATCATTATTTGTTATTTTCTTTTATGTTAATAAGAGAATTCAGCCTCCATAGCAGTGTTCAATCCAGCCAGTCCTACACGTCCTTGCTGTGGGTCACAGATGAGGAGCTTATTCAGGTTTTCTGCCCAAGCCATTAGCTCCGCGTCACACACCAGAGACCCGGGTTATAGGGACAGTTGTGTTCATCCTGGTGTTACTCAAAGACAGGTGTGATCCTGTTACTGATACTACAAGTGACCTAAAATGTCACTGTTCAAATTAGCAAGTGTTCTAACAGAGTAAATTCTTCAGATGCTTGGAAAGATACCATAAAGCCAGTCTTCACAGAACTGGGCCAGGGTCAATCAATGTTGTTTGCATGTCTATCGTTCAGGGCTCTAAGGTCCCTGTGTTTCTGCCACTGTTTCAGAGTCGTGACCACTGACTGGGCAAGGCTTCTCAGCATGGTTGTGGAGCTCTTGTCCTTTCCCCACTAACAGTTGCCTTTGGCTCTCTTGCCTGTTGTGCTTACAAAATGGTGATGGCTTATAGAGGCTCTTAAATTAATATTCCTGTTTAAGGAAATTAAAGTTTGTCTATTTTTGACAATAAAGAATCATATGTTTTTAATTCTCTTGTCTTTATTTCTGAGTTTATGCAGTAATCACCCTAAATATATGTGACGATATTTGGGGGAAGATGACAAAACAATTACTACCTTTTTGATAAAACCTATTTGTACCATAATTATAATATTCCAGTTGTATTAATATTTATTGCATGTACTTATGTCAATAAAGAGTGATTTGCTTCATAATTTTTCAACTACAATAACATTTTTATAGGAAGACATTAATAATTTGAGCTCCTTTGGCAACTGCCGTGGGCTTTTTGTATAGTTTCTCCAATAACCAAACAGATATAGCTATTAAATTATAAGATCACTGTACATATTCATTTTATCAATATATTCTATTTGAATAATATATCTTTCTAATTCTGCTTTTATTCCTCAATTTGAATTTTTAATCTTTTTCACCTATATTTTCTATCTCCTCAAACTTATGGTCACTGGGTCCGATTTCTCATGCTAGATAACCCACATTTAACAAGACTTGCTAAGTGCCATGTGCTCTTCTAGATGCTTTACAAAAATTATCTCATTTAGTCCTCAAAACAACCCCATAAATTGGGGCTCCCGTCATCTCCATCTTATAAATAAATGGCCAGACACAGATGAGTAATTTGTCTGGAGTTACCAAGGTAGGCAGCAGAGCCAGGGTTCGAAACCATGCTGAACCTAGAGGCTACACTCTTAGTTTTACTCACCACATCATGCAGCCAGAGCTGTGCCAGGCAGCACAGAGACACCATCCACATCACCAAAGGACTGTGTAAAAACAGTGTCCGAAATATTCGTCCCTAAATTTGGAAAAAAAAATTTTTTTGAGTGCCGTGGTGTCATAGCAACCTCATAGGAAACTCAGTCTCCTGGGCTCAAACGATCCTCCTGCCTCAGCCTCCCAAGTAGCTGGGACTACAGGCATGCGCCACCATGCCCGGCTAATTTTTTTCTATTTTTAGTAGAGACAGGGTCTTACGCTAGCTCAGGCTGGTCAGCTCAGGCTGGTCTCAAACTCCTGACCTCAGGCGATCCTCCTGCCTCGGCCACCCAGAGTGCTGGGGTTACAGAGTGCTGTGAGCCACTGTGCCCAGCCTGAAAAAATTCTTAATGTGGTTTCTTTTCAGATAGGGGAAAAAAGGAAACTACTGATAATACTCAGCATTCATTAGAGCCAGGACCATACTTAAATTAGAAAACCGTCCAGATGTGGAAAAGACATGCACTTCCATCCTGGCACCTTCACTCCTATTCTGTGTACTTGGCCTAGTTACTCTTTCATGTACTCAGAAAGGATGTGCTCTGTCCTGAATGGGGAGTAAGCTGTCAGCTAGCATGTATTGTCTCCTGAGAGAACCGGGTGTCTTACTTTCCCTTATCAATAGAAAGACGGTATTATTTTACAGAACTGAATCTATGTTACCAATGACAGTCTTATTCAGACCTCCTGGATCTATGTTACCAACTATCCTCATGGAGCTGGCTTCATGATGCCCTAATGACAGTTTTCCACTTTGCACAGTGCAAGGATGTATAATACAAATACTCATAAATTTTAAAAATCTTAGTCTATTACACACAGTTCTCAATAATCTATGTTGGTTTAAACAAATTATAATAATACTCTTTAATGTCCAAAGCAGGTTGGTGTCAGGGAGGGAGGGTTACATGGTGACTTGCTGAGAGGGAGGAGCACTTCATGCACTTGGTCAGAGCCTAAACTTGATTATAGACTCAACATACTCCATTGTATTCTCTGCATTGGCCACAGACAAGTGAATGGAGACGTTGGGAAGGGTCTCATGGGAAAGTTCAGGGGCCAAGGGTAGGGATGGTATACACAGCTTCTGTCTGAGTACCATATACAATGCAGTCACGTGGCCCATTTAATGGCAAGAGGGGCTGAGTAATGTAGTAAAATGAAAAGGGAATAGGCTGATGACCTGACAATATTGTTTCTGTCACACAGGGAGAGACAAGATAGCCAAGGAAACACAATAAATTATCCAGACACAGACCTGTGCATATAAGGCAAGTTGATCACAGCAGAGCTGGCACTTTGGATCAATAGGTGTGATATTGTGAAATATATATATTTGGATATATTTGGTCTTCCTTGAGTCCAACTCCTAAAATCCTTGGAATCTTCAAGGTGATAAGTGTATTTTGGTATGCTAATGAGTTGACCTATGGCTGGCAGCCCCTAGTTAGCTTCAGGATGGGAGATGCCCATCAAAAATACCATGGGATTGGAGCACTGGGACTTTGAGCCTCAGGCCATCCCCACTTTCTGGAAGAGGTGCTGAAGGTTAAGTTGATCACCAGTGGCCAATGAGTTAATGCATTATTGCTAAGTAATGATGCTTCGATAAAAACTCAAATGGACTGGGTTTGGAGAACTTTCAGCTAGCTGAACATGTGGATAGCACACCTGGACAGCACATGGAAGTGCCATGCCCCTCCCCACATACCTGGCCCTATGGGTGTCTGCATCTGCATCTGGCATTCAGTGACATCCTTCGTAATATCCTTCATCATGAACCAGTGAACCTAAGTGTGTTTCTGAGTTCTGGGAGCTGCCGTAGCAAATTAATCTAACCCAAGGAGGGGTTACAGGAATGCCCATTTATAGCCCATCAGTCAGAACACCGTAAAGGCACCTGGGGCTTGGGATTGGCATTTGAAGTTGGAGGAAGGGGACAGTCTTGGGGACTGAGTCCTCACCCTGCAGGATCCAAAGCCATCTCCAGAGAGACAGTGTCAGAACTGAGTTAAATTAGAGGACACCGCGCCGGTGTCTGCTACAGAATGCATTGCTTGCTTGGTGTGTGTGTGGGAAAAAAATCAGCACACATTTGGTTACAGAAGTCTTCTGTGTTGATTGTTGACGGAGTGTATGGGGAAACCGAAATGTGATTTTATCCTTAATATTCTCAGAAGAGGTAAAGGATGGTGTTTTCAATAATTGGTGCTATATTAATCATTTACAGGAAAAAAATAAAATTGGATCTATACATATCAAGCGCAAAAATCAACTCTAGGTTGGTTAAAGAATTAAATGTGAAAGGGAAACAGAAGATGCAAAGAATATTCATGATTTTGATGTGTGAAAAGATTTCTTAAGATGCAAAGAAACTTCTGTTTCTCAAATGATCTTAAACGGATGTGGACTAAAATAAAATCCTAAACCCCCAGCTGATTAAACAGACCCCTTCTTAGCCAAGGGGACCCCAGAGAAACCTTTAAGCTGAGTTCCCACCCATGACAGGACGAGAGGTCAGACGTGCCCCATTACACCCGTCCCTTGCTAATGGCCAGCAGACTTTTTTTTCCAAAGGGCTAAACAAAAACTAATCTCGCGATGTGGACCAGCACTCTTTCCCAATAAGAGACCACCAACCACGGAGTGGTTTTAACCGGTCTGGAGCATGCCGAGAGAGGACTTTCGTGTCCTTGCTGCACCTTTCGACCTTAGAGGGCTCCGTTTTTTAAACATGGACCCCTTAAAAGGGCATAAAGCTCGATTGCGCAGGTGCATGTTTTCCTTTCCTAAGGAAAGGAAAGGATGTTGCTAACCCAACATCAGGCAAAACAAAAATTAATTAATTGTATGGGCCTGAACTGATAGAGGACTGAAATAATTTTTTAGACTTTTTTGTTCCAGGCATTGCTGATTCTTTGTTTTGTTTTCCAGAGTCAAGAAAACCTTTTTTTTTTTTTTGAGCTAGTTATACTGTACAATTGGATAAAGTAGAAAAATTTCTCTCTCTCTTCTTACATCAGCAGTCCCCAACCCTTTTGGTAGCAGAGACCAGTTTCATGGGAGACAATTTTTCCAGGAACGTGGAGGGGAGGCGGAGCTCAGGCGGTGATGCGTGTGATGGGGAGCAGCTGTAAATACAGATGAAGCTTCGCTCGCTCACCTCCTGCACACCTCCTGCTGTTCCTGTGTTCCATGAAAGACAATTTGTCCATGAATGGGGTGGGGGGTGGCAGCAGCAGAGCTCTGTGGCCTGGTCCCTAACTGCGAGGACTGGTACCAGTCCATGGGCGGAGGGTGGGGGACCACAGCTCTACACAATATCCAGAATTTGGATTCCTGTTTTATGGCAATGTAGTTAGTTTGCCTAAGTTCAATAAGAATGCTTTCCTTTCTAACAGGCTACACTGGGGACATTGATTATTTTACCAAGGCTTTAACTGAAATTATTTACTTTCAGGAAAAGTTCCAACAAAGCCAACTTTTTTAAAAAGGCCTATGTAGCCAGTAACTACTCCTGCTGTACTTTATGCAAATAATCAGGCCAAATGTAATCAGACTAAAACTCATTTTGTACATGAATTGGTCACACACTATAATTTCTCTTTGGTGGAAAAGGGGGACTAGAGAGAGGAAAATTGTTTCAAAAACCCCTATAACACACCTATTACTAGATTCTATAGATTTTGTTACTAGATTCCAGTCCTGGCCTTAGTTTTTGAGATTTTACTATTTGCCTGTAGTTCAGACTAGATCATGCGTTATTTTTGGCTACAAGAAAAACTGGGCTATAATTTCCATCATCATGTTTTTAGTTGGCTCTCTAAAGAATTAGATTCCTTTTGGTTTTTTGGGGTTTTTTTGTTTCTGAGACAGAGTCTGACTCAGTTGCCTGGGCTAGAGTGCCATGGCATCAGCCTAGCTCACAGCAACCTCAAACTCCTGGGTTCATGCCATCCTCCTGCCTCAGCCTCCTACGTAGCTGGGATTATAGGTGTGCAGCACCATGCCTGGCTAATTTTTCTATTTTTGTTAGAGACAGGTTCTCACTCTTGGTCAGGCTGGTCTTGAACTTCTGACCTCAAGTGATCCTACCACCTCAGCCTCCCAGGGTGCTAGTATTAGAGGCGTGAGCCACCATGCCCAGCCTAGATTCCTTTTTTTGTTCTGACACCCACTTCTCTTTGATTATCAAATTATTAATGTTATTTATCCCTTACTGTTTTACTTCTGAAAAAAACAGAATCA